ATACTCATCCAAGGAAAACCCTTATATCCTGTCGATCCAATGACCATTTTAATACTAATATATGAATTTAGGTTTTTTTTTTTTGGGTAATTTAGTGGGGAAGACGGCCCCTATCCATTTTTTCAAATAGTTTATGAGCTAGTTTTTTTAAAGTGTTAATGGAGTGGTGTCATTAGGAATGAAAACCACAATGTGGTGACTAAGATGTAGCCTAAGAGCCAAGCCAAGGTCGTGATAGAGCTGGCTTAGTTTGACCATCTTTTTCTATATTTTTCTCTTTTATTTTTTATTTTATCTAGCTTGGCCAACCTTATTGGGATCAAGGCCATGCTAGAACCAGAGCCAAGTTGGCCTAGGACCAGCCCATGGCCTGCCCTAAGGGATAAAAGCAGCTTCGCAAACAGTTTAAGCTTGGTGGTCACAGTGAAGAGCATCTTGTCCACCATAAAACCCAATTGGCTTAGGGGCCTCTATTTGAAAGAGCAAGGACACTTCAAAACTTAAGGAAGTGGCAAAATTTTGGCCTCAAGCTCTCTCTCATCTGGTCAATGGCTCCTCAACCCCCTTTCTCATGGATTGTATTTTGATTTATTTATGTCTTGCTATTTTGGTGTGCATAGATGTAGAATTTCTAATAAAAGAAATAGAGACAAAAAAAAAAGAAGAAGAATCAACATGATATACGTAGTTCGACAATGATGCCTACATCCACGAAGGGTAAACTATATTTTCATTCATAGGGATTACTCTGATTTACTAGAGATCTATAGATTTATAATTCTTGTCTTTTAAGAAACAAATCTCACTACAATAGTAATAACACAAAATAAGAAACTCAATATAGGAAACTTAGTAACTTGTAATATACAAGATAGAAAACTCAATATCTGCTTTTTATGGACGGGCAACACTCCCCCTCAAGTTGGTGTGTAGAGATCAATCGAGTCCAACTTGGACAACATTTGATAGAACTTTGTCTTTGCAATAACTTTGGTAAATATATCTACAAGTTGGTCTTCACTTGGAACCAGTGTTTTAAAAACCTGTGAGTCGAACCAGACTCGCCCGGTTCGACTCTGGAACCGGCACAGCCCGTGTCGGTTCCGATACAAAACAGGGAACCGCCCGGTTCTAGAGGAGAACAGCCGGTTCCAATCCGGTTCTACCCGGTTCCCTCCATGCACGCGTGCGACACGTATGAGGTTACCATAATATTTCTACACAAACATATTATTCTATATTACATAAGGTATTTATATACCAAAGTGGAATACCCATCTTTCGATGTGGGATAATTCCCAAACATCATTAAATGAAAAGGGAATTTAAATATATTCTATTAATCATCAAATTATAACCACATGTGGTGAGGTGGCGTGGTGGTTAAGACCTTTGCTTTTTCACTTGATGTCTCAAGGTCGAGTCCCCTCGTGGATGTTATTTTTTTGTGTTGTATATATTGTATAAATATTTTTATAAATAATATAAAAAGCATAAAAAATAAAAAAGTTAATTTTTTGTATAGCAGTTACTTTTTTTGTATATAGTGGTATAATTATTTTTTTAAATAATATGAAATGCATAAAAAAATAAAACATAAAAATTTTATTCTATTTTAAATCTCCATCTTTCTACTAACAATCTCTTTCACTAAATTTATTATAGAAACCTACAAAAATAAATTCTTGAAAAATTGAAGTGTTATTTCCAAAATTTGTACGCATTTTATTAATTTTTACATTGATAACCAAATCTTTTATTTTATTTATTAATTTTTACATTATAAATCATGTAATGTACTATTTTTCTTACAGTTGTCAATAATACATTTTAAATTAGATAATATTGTAAAATATTTTTAATTTGTTATTATTTGTCTAATAAAATAATTATAAAATGTAAACTAATAATTATAATTTCAGTATATAATATTACAATTAGTTAGGTTTTAATAATTTTGGATCATAGTTAGTTAGGCTGTAATAATTTGGATTTTTTTAGCGGATTAGGGTTTTTCACCAAAACGAGATTTTAATGGCCATTCTTTCATTGATTAGTCTACTCTTTATAATAGTTCATGTATAATTATATATTTTATCTATGATAATTCTATGATTTTTCTTTTATGTGATGCAAATTTAATGGTTAACATAAGTTTATACAGGGAAAGAGCATCTCAATATTCACAAATTGATGAAAAAAGTGAAAGTTAATAATGTAGTACCTTCATTTCTTATTGGATTCCTAAAAAACAATATTTATAATAAATTTTAATAAATTTTTAGGATTTTTTTGAAGCTTTAATCAGACCGATTCAGTCGATTCCCGATCCGGATCGCCGATTTGTCGATCCGAATCGATTTTTGAGATGCCCGATCCGGGTCACCGATCCTCTTTTTAAACCATTGCTTGGAACATAAGGAGTACTAATAATTTTTTACTGGATTTTTTATCTTAAAAAGTGACAATCAACTTCTATGTGCTTGGTTCTTTCATAAAAAACTGGATTGGAGGTTATATGCATAACTGCTTAATTATCAAAAAACATCTACATTGGATTGACAGTTGGGAACCCTATATCTCGAATTAGGTATTTTATCCACATCAATTCACTTGTAGTTGAAGTCATAACTATATATTCAGCCTCTGCACTGGATCGAGCAACTACATTTTGTTTCTTGCTTTTCTAAGCAACTAAGTTTCCTCTGACCAATGTACAATAGCTGGTAGTGGACCTCCTGTCAATTGGATTACCTGCCCAGTCTGCATCATAATAACTAATAATATTAGTGTGACCATTCGATTTCAACCAAACGCCTCTACCGGGAGGCGACTTAAGATATCTAAGAATCCTATCGACAGCCTCCATATGACATGATATAGGAGCATATATAAATTGGCTCACAATACTAACCGCATACATTATATATGGTCGTGGTACAATCAAATAAATCAATCTGCGCACAAGTCTATAAAAGAGGCCTACATCTTCAAAAGATTTCCATGTGTTAAATTAAGTTTGCAATTAATATCAACAAGAGTGTCAACGGGTTTGACTCATGTACTATAAATGTCAACAATAAGAGATATACTTGGCCGAGTTACGAGGCTTGGGCTAGGGCTGACTACATGGTCCGAGTTGATTTAAAAACCAATGGATGTACAAGTTTAGAGGAAGAATAGACTTCTCACTCAAAGAATTTCAGTGAATATCGCTAAAAAGTTTAGTCATTAGGTTTTGGATAAAATCAGCAACTTTAGTATCTTACTCAATGGAGGTTTAGTTAAAATTTGCAGAGATTTCCCTTTAGTTGTTTAATGGACATAGTCAATTTATTCAGATGCTAATTATGTTTGTTGCAGTTTTGGACAAATTTTAATAAATTTTGTTGAGCGATGTGAGATGGAGAAAGAATCTAAAGCATGAACCAATAAATCAGGTTTAGAGAGAGGGTGAAGTAGCATAACAGGATGGGCGAAATTATCAAAAAGAAAATGTGAAAGGGAAGATGAGGCCCTAAATTTTCTTTTCAAACAAAAGAGAGCGGCAAATTTACCAAGGGAAAATATCATTTAAAGGGTTGAAATCTCTTAAAAATCATTAAAAAGGTTCAATAATCCTAACTAATCTTTTTTTCTTTTTTTGATGAAAAGATGATCCTAACTAACATTTGAAGTTATTTTTTCATGTTCATTTCACTTAGGCATCTCCTCAAAGAAAGTTAAAATTTTTCCAATTACCTTTATTCAGGATTTGGAAAGAAGAATAATCATGGATGTTTCAGTAATTTGACCTCTAAAAGGCCCCAACCAAATGATGAAAATACCTCTACTCATTCAGCTTTACAATATGAAACACAATTTTCTGGATTAGAAATGACGAATAACTAGGGATGTTTTTGTTAGTTGATAGTAGGCCCGCGATTTTTTTGGATTGGATCCAGACCCAAGTGGATCCAGATCTGGATCCAAAAAGTATACTTCGGATTCATATTCGATCGGATCTAGAATATTCAGATCCGAATCTGAAACTATATATAGGATATGGATTCTAAATATGGATCCAGATCAGTTCCAATATTGTATATTATAACGTTAAAATATATTTATAAAAGTTAAATAATATATATATATATATATATATATATATATATATAAATGATAACATATATGTATATAAATATAAAAGAATATATATTATTTAAAAAACCAGGTTGAATCCGGATCGGATCCACCTATACTTGAATCCGACCTCAATTAGTATTTCGATTTAGATTTTGGATCCGGATCCAAATCTTACATCTATAGCCGGATCTGAATAAGATCCAAAATTTGAGTTTCGGATCCGGATGGAGTAAATTCTGAACCCTAGTTGATAGATGTGAGGTACTTGAGTGGCAAATGTCAAAAAATACCTTAGTTATTTATCATTACTAATTCTGAATAGTGTGTTCTTTATTTATAATTTTGAATAAAATAAGGTAGTTTTATAATTTAATGAGTCAAATTACTGAAATGCCTTTGATTATTCCTCATTCCTAATCTAAAATAAGGGCAACTTCAAAATTTTAAACATTTTTTGAGGAGGTGTCTACTGAAATAAAAAAGAAAAAATAGCCTTCAAATGTCAAATAAAATATGGGTTCATAGGGTGGGAATATAGAAGTCGCTCTAGGTTTTAAAACACTAGTTTATATTATAAGGCTAGGGCTGGCAATTTTGGCCCTCTTTTTCTTATGTATTTTTTGTTTTTAAATTTTATTTGACCTTGTCTTGGCCGGACCAACGACAAGGCCCGCGCTAAGGCCCGCTGCCATCCCTAACTATAGCATAGTTGCTGGCCCACAAAATCTTTACCCGAGAAGGAAATATCTCGAATTTGGGCAAGCGAAACTGATCCTTGCATTTCAGTATTTTTGTACGTACTGCTTTTTCTTCGAAATGGTGGTGAGGTCCGTCAAATGGCATTACATATTCCCTTCAACCAACAAAAATATAGGAAAAACGGGTGAAAAACCTATCCCTTGGGAATTTTAATATTCTCGGAAAAGAATGGCTCATTTCTATATTTAAGAAAAAAAATGCTCAAACATCCGGAAAATCACAAAAAACATTCCCTCCTCCTCATTTCCTTTCCTCATTCTTTTTTTTTTTTCTTGTTGAGAGAGGATCAGGAGTTTTGGGGAAAGGAGAAAGAAGAGGCACTCTGTTCTTTGTTTTTTGAGAGAGAGGGTTATTGATGAGAGAAGAGGGAGGCATAGAGGAGCTCATTCCAAGTATCCGGCACTCCCGGCAGGCACCAGTGGATGCAGTCAGCATACGAAGCAGGATCGGCGAGCTGCTCGGGCTTGAGAGGTTCCCATTGCTTCCTGTATATTGAGGGGTGGCCATCTTTCCGGTACTCCGAAAGCTGTGTGATATTGAGAAAGCTCACACTCACTCCTTTCTCTCTCATCCCTGCAATTACTTGGTCCATCGCATCTATCATCCTCTTGTCTGATCCTTCACCCCAATATCGCTCGTCTCTGATCGGCTCCGTCTCGTTGTAACAGTTGCCGCCCTGCTTCTCGCCCCATTCATCACTCCTACAAAATTGGTTTTTTTTTTTTCTCATCAGTTAAATAGCTAAAGCACAGAAAGAACATAGGCATGCTACTACCATTCTCATGACCACAGGAGTTCCATGGTCATGAGGGCCACAAATGTACAGACAATGGCGGGAGTTACTGTGAGGAGAGACGATGGGTAGGACCCGTTTCCTTGTTTCATGGCATCTTTTGGTGCGTCCAATCTTGACTAGGGTATTATTTGAGAAAATAAATAGATACTATACCCCTGAGAGAGTATAATATCTTTTGGCATTTTTTTTTAAAAAAGAAAGTTATCCCACTTTTTTGGGGATGAATATCATGTAGGGGTGGCAGCCGGATGGGCTTGGACTTGGGCTTGGGCTTGGGCTGGCTCGAGCACAGCCCAAACTAGGCCAAAGGGTCTCCTTTAATTAAATTATATTTGGTGCTCCCTCAATTGAAAGATGCCCCAAAAGTGCGTGAGCATGAATATAAGTATGAGCGTGAGCGTGAACATGTGCGTATGCGTATACTTATATGTATGCGTGTGCGTGTGCATGTGCGCGTGCGCGTGAGCGGGAGGACTTACGAGAAGTGCGTAGGTGATACGCCAACGAAGAAAAACTTAGTCTTGAGAGGGTCTTCGTGACTTACTACCCACTTTGCCCATGTTTCCAAAGTCATCCTGAACACACGAATCATCTCTATTTCTTCGTACACCGCATCGCTGCTTCCAAAAGAACCCCACCTGTTCACATACAAACAGTAGCACCACTAACTTAATCTTTCCTCTCACCTTTTCTTTACTTCTAAGCATGGCCTTCTTGGCCTAAAAAATACATCTTTCTCTCTCTCATAGCTCACATGGTGAGGTAATATGGGGTTACCCGGATTCGGCTGAGTTACTCGGCCTCATCGTATAGACGAGGCGAATTTTGTTCAAATCTATTGTACACCATGCATCTTCAGTTTTTAGGAAAAATTATAGATACCCATTAAAATCAATTTTCTAGATATATTATCCGATACTTTTTGTATTATACCTTAAACCCCAATACTATTTTTTCTATGTATTTACCTCCAGAAGCAAATAGAATTGAGGCAAAATTGTTATTTTCTTCACTTTCCCCTTTCCAAGTCCGTGGCAAAAATAATTACCCAAAAAAAGTTACGGGGCAACACTTTCTCTTTACTCGCCCTCTCTCTCAATGTCTCTACCTCTCTCCCTTTCTCCCTCTATCTCACTTTCTCTCTCTACCTGTCTCTACTCTCCCCCTCTCTCTAGTGTCTACCGGCCCTCTCTCTATCTCTTTCTCTCTATTTGCCCTCTCTATATCTATTCACACCGAAATATTTGCTATTTCTATTAAAGAATAGATATATAATTTTTTTTAAAAAAATGTTTTTTAAACTAAAAGCATTCATTTGTAATTAAAAATGAATTTATAAATATTTGATCTAAAAAATACTTATCAATTGTGATATAATAATAATATAATACGCTTTGTTATACAAATTTCCAAATCAAAAGAGTATATATTGCCCGATGAGATGCAAAAGCAACAATAAATGTTTCCAATATTTTACAAAATGACCAAGATCTGTAAAAACAAACAATTGAGTCCTAGAGTATCAAATAAAAATAATAGAAAGCCTACAATGTAGTCTTGACACACTGGGTGTTGGACCCAAAGGTATTCCATTAAGTTTTCGCAGCCAGAAATGCGGTCCAGCACATTGGATGCCAGACCGTTTTGTTTTTTTGTTGTTCCACACTTTCTATCCCGGACTACAAAAAAATTTGGGCCGGGCATCCAACGAGCGTGCCGAATCAGTTAGTATTCCAAAAAACCTAAGTAAAATGCCACCTTTAGGTTTCTTGTAAGAAAGGGGCAGATTAAATGTTATATACTTATTTTTTTTATTGTTATTTATTTAATTTATTTTTACCTCAAGCTGGGCTCAGGCAGTTATTCCGATTCTACCTTAACAAGGTCCAAGTACCTTAGCCCAATCATTTTACGGTGTATTGTGTGACACTAATGCGGAGGAACAAATCTCCCTTCCTGTAACCCATCTCCCTCTTCTCTCTCACAATGATTCCATTTTAAGTAAGGTATGGGCATAGGCATTTGCAGGACTTACAAAACCTTCATTTTGGGTCTTCTCCACCACAAATATGAATTGAAGATGAGGAATTCGGCTCCGCTCCAATGCTGAGCGTGCTTCTCCATTGATTCCACCCTCACTATTCTGTCCGGAAGCCGGTGGTTCACCGGATCGTCTGAATTCGATTCCACCAACAGAGGAGCCCAGTAAAATTCCACTGTCGCATTGTACTCCTGTAAAATTAACGTCTTTATTTTACTCTCCACACTATTTACTACATAATTACCTTTTCTTCTTAAAATTCTTCAATTTTTATTCTTTTTTTTTTTAACGTTGAATTTTTATTCCTACTTTATGTTGAAAAGCAACTTTTGAACCCAGCCAAACGCAAAAACACGTGGTAAGAATGTTGCCTTTTCTGAACCAACAAAAAAAAAAAAAAAAAAGTGTTTGGATAGTGGACTTTCTATCTACCCAAAATACAAAGTAACCTAAATAATTGGGATTGGGAATAAAAAACTCAAATATTTGAACGGGTCAAAATTCCAACTTTTGAACCAACCCTTAAAACACAAAAAAGGCGCGTTCAAACGATTTGAAAGCTGAACCGCTGAAAACACTAGAACAACTAAGTGTTCGAGTGACTTGGAAGTACAAAACACAAAAATCACCATGAACCGCCTGAGCACTTGGGACGTGTTTGATAGGTGGAAGTTTATGGAAGTGGGAGTCAAATGTCTCACTTCTATGCATGATATTACTGTCTGGAAGCTGTAAAGTGGAAGGGCAACCTTCCATGCAGCTTTTTTTTAGTGTTAAAATGAATTCACTTTGGATAGACCTCTCTTTTATAAAAAATGATGTACTAACAGTCTTCCATAATTTGTAGGAGAGTCCCTTCCACTCCCAAAAACTCCATGTATCAAACACTCCCTTAGTTTATTTTGCGCTATGGGCAGTTTCAACGTCCAATTTTTGAACCACCCAATGCTTTTCGTTTGTGTTTTAGGAAGCTTCAAAGTCAGAATTTTCAAATGGAAGGAAGTAACAAAATAGAAGTTGAACGTTTTGAACTTCATGTTAAATCTTGGGATAATTTTTCATCCAAAAATTATTTTGCATCCTAAATTCACCCCAAAACGTTATAATCCTTAGGATCATATCGTATATTCACCTCATCTACAGTCTAATGGACAGTGAAGATTGGGCCTGAGGAAGGCACAATTTTACGGATGAAAGTGACGAGAAAAACTGTGTACTCCTATCTCCTCCTTGGTTAATCTTCATCGTCCATTTGGTCGATAGGTAAGAGAAAGCACACTGCATTATTACAAGGAGGTCACAATTACTCTCAAGCATTAGATGTTAAATTGAATGGTTTAAGTATCAATAAGTTTGCGAATTTTTTCTTGAACTATGAGTCTAATCAATGATACTCTTGCAACTATCCAATTTGAAATCCAACGAACAAGAGTCGTTATAACATCCTTGCAATAAAAATAAATGGTATAATTTTCCCTTTGTTAATTTTGCGATATTTCTCTGCTCGTTATTCTATTTTATCGTATAAACTCTATTCACTTGTTCTGTTCATGACTCAAAAATTCGGAATGTTAAATGTTTTATCTTTTTCTCAGCGATTCAGTCACATGTTCGATTATGATGCTCATCAATCAAAAAGGAAAAAACCGATGCACTTAAAATTCTGAAATTACTTTTAGGCCAGGGCTGATGAAAGAAAAGGTTTGGGGAAAATATCATTGCAAACTTAGTAAAAGGTGTAAAATTATTAAAAGGATCAAAAGATACAATTTGTCTAAAGGGTTTACTTTTTCAATATTTTTTCCCCATTTAGGCACGTCTTTCAAAATATCTTAATTGCGCATGCTAAGGGTTGGGAACTTTGAACATGCATGTATTTAAGTAATTTTGAAAGTATTTTATTATTTTACATTCCCGTCTTAAATTACTGGAATTCCCTAACTTTTTCAAGGTTCTCATTGTTGTACATGGTCAATTTGGTATTTTTTAATATGTGTTTTTAAAAAGTAATCAAGTTAAATAAAATTATTAAAAAATACACTAATTAATGTTAATTGGGATCTTTTAAATCCCCATTGATTTTGCAAAGCATTTTGATGCCTTAAACAATATTTTCCCAAGTTTAAAATGAGGTCCCATACAAACGTGGTCCCTTTTTTAAAGCAGTCTTAGAGATAAATTTAGGCTTTGAAGCGCATCTTAAGTTACTATAAATGCATTTCAACATTCTATCTATGAGTTTGAACCATGAAAACAACTAGAGATTTTATTATCTCCAAACAATTAAAATAAGCAGTGATGAATAGGGATGGGCTCAAGGCAAGGTGGTAGGGTAGAGAGATGCCGCTACGTGACTTTTTGAATTCCATTCCTATAATACGCCAAAACTCTATCCATACAACATGTCAAAACCCTATCCACATGAAAATGGTGCAAACCCCATAGTAAAAAAAAATCCTCGATCCTCATAGAGACTTTAGGGATGAGCAGAAACTCATGGAGACTTTAGGGATGAGCAGAAAGGTAGCATGAGCATTAAGAATAAATTTCTACAATAGCATCCTGTGATGCATGTGGCATCCATTTTGTAAATGAATGTTAGAAAATAGTAGCCCCACAAAAGCTACAAATCGACTGTGGTAAAATATATATAGATATATATATATATATATATATTTGTAAAATTTATTTTTTCATGTTCCTACTTATCATGGCTAAAATTTTGAATCTAAAATCCATTTCTAAAATAGATTATGGAGAGAAGACTCATTTAAATAGGCGAGTCAGCTCATAAAAACCTTATAAATTCAATTATGTTCCATGCTTATTAATTTTTGTTTCAATTTCATTGATTTTCATTGCCAACCATATAAGACGATAACTTCAATAGGGGAGCATTCACAAAAAATATGGTTTTGTGACAGTAACCAAAATTTTAACATGTAGAATAGTGTTCATTGTAGTCAATAGGACGTAATAATAGTCTTCACGTCCATAATTATAGTAGAAATAAATTAGAGTCCAAGATGAGGTGTAGTATTGGTTTATAATAATAATAATTTTAGAGTTTAAGGGAGGGGGGGGGGGGGCAAAGAGTAATTTACCTTGGCTGTGAAGACCATGAGAGAGCCATTAGAGTGCATGGATTTGTGGTTGGGTTCAATGCCAGAGTCTAGAAGACACACCATGGACACCCATTGCCCCCTGTTCAATGAATCTCCAACAAAAACCATCCTCTTCCCTCTCAATCTCTCCAACATGGCTGTCGCATTGAACCTTACTAACGTAAACGGCATCAACTTTTAATTTCTCTTAAAATTTTCCATTTTTGCTCTGTGAGCAAATAACACATTAAACTGAAAGAAATAGTGTTTCTAAGAGGAGGGGGAAAAAGAAGTAATATAAAAGTAATGAAGAACTACCAACTAAAACATATACCACAATATCCTCAACCTCCAAATTATATGCATTGGTGTTACAAAAATACATTATAGTTTTGGTTGTTTAATTGAAAAATCTATGAAATATGTTTACGATAATATTATGGAAAACGTGTATATAAGGTAGCATTAAGGTGCACCTCAAAAATCCATCATAAAAGGTTATTTTGACATTAGAAAACCATGTAATTGATCATATCGACATTAAGATGTATGCATATGAAAATAAAAAGAGATTTCGGGTCCTAACAATAGTGTATCTTGCAACACATTATCTGGACTGTCCATTTTCAAGTGCTTATAGATCTACTTTATTTGAACCAGTTTTGGAGTTTAATATTTCATAATTAGAGATAAAAATAGATTCTCAAGCCATTCTAGTAATTTTTTGCACCAAAATTATATTTATGATAAAATTTGGAGATGCTCATTAAGTTGATTGTTTAAAATTGCAACTTTATAACAACCCATTAAGACTCCAACCTTATACAAACCATACCCTATAGATATTGATATGGTTGTCGTTGTCTATTAGTGCTGTAGGTGTCTCTTATATCATTATAAAACACTAGTACGACTAAACACGTTCTTACATTTTTTTTTTCCTTAAATAAATCATTATAGCTCTTATAATATAGTTTTCTTTTTATGCTATCAATATCATCATTATCGTTATTAAAGCTTTTTTCCAACTAATTTAGGTCGGTTAAAGAGAAGTGGCAGCCCTCACGATAGTAACATTACTTGAAAGAGGTGGGGGTTCAAATTCGTGATCATAATTTCATAATTAATAAAATACAATGCATTTAATTTATAATTTAGTTTTGAAAAAAGTTTATACAAGGTTGTAACTTTAATATGTAGAATTAAAGATGCACCTTAAATATCCATCAGAAAAAAATGTTTTAATATTGAAAAACCCTCTAATTGATCATCTCAACATCGAGATGTGTGAATATGAAAAAAATAAATAAATTTTGAGTCTCAAAAATAGTGCATCTTGCAACACATTATCTAGATTTTCATATATTTATAGATCTAATTGATTTTAACCATTTTTGAAGTTTAAAATTGAAAATAAGTTTGCAGATAATTTTAAAAAAATTTTACACCAAAATTACATGTTATAATAAAATTTGGACGTACGCCTTAATTAGATTGTTTAAGGTTGCAAGCTTATAGAAACCACATCCTTTAGTTTTCTCTTATGTTGAATACATTATATTTGCATTTAGTAAGAAATAAGGAGATGGCAAATGTTACGTTGTCTTAAATAATTTTAGAGAGATTTATGGACCCTAAATTTTTTGATAAAATACAAAATATTCTGCTTATAGGTGGAAATTACAAAAAAGGTCGGTCAACCCACTTTTTTTTTTTCAAAATTGCCCCATCAATCAATTCAAATTTTGAATTTTCTTTTTATTTTTATTTTTTTAGTTTTTTTATTAGTAGGGCAGTGCCCTAAGCTTTAAGGCATTGCCCTACTAACGAAAACACTAAAATAAAAAATAAAGAGAATCAAAATTTGGTTGACCGAGGGGTAATTTTGAAAAACAAAAAAAGCAGATTGACCAACCTTCTTTGTAATTTTTGCATATAAATAGAATATTTTGTATTGTACCTAAAATTTTAAAGTCCTTAAATAAATCACTCGTGATTTTATAATTTAGAATGCAATTATTATATAAAAGGCTGAGGTTTGTATAGAGCCTAGGCTCTAAACAAATTAGAGCCTACCTTCAAATAGTGTCGTGAAATGTGGTTTCGATAGTGGAAATCTTTGTGATAACCTTAAAACATATTTTCATATTTATTTATAAAGTTTAAAACTTCAATAGTGTAGATAGACATCTATGAAAACTTGAAAATCTTAAAAATTGACGGTCCAAAAATGCATTACAAAATACACTACTTCCAAAACTTGAAATCCATTTTTTTCTCATGTCTATGCATCTTGATGTCAAGATGATCAATTTGAAGATATGTGGGCATTAAAACAACCTCTTCTAATGAAATTTTTGAAGTAAGCTCAAATTTGATGGTTTAGAGTCTCGGCACTATATAAAATTTTCTCTATATAAAATATTTTTTATACCATAAAAAATATTGACACATGTCCAAGTATCCACAGGATAACATCTTTATCTATGTTCTTGTTGTTACTGTTATATCATGGGGATGCGGCATTCTTTATTAATTACAAAAAAGGAAAATCGTTTCATGCGAGCTGGATAGCATGACTATAGATGTGGTCTAAAAAGTGTAAAACATCCATTTTAAAGATGGATGCAAGTAGGTGTTCCATCTAAACACAATAAAAACTAACAGTTCAAATATTTTCTAACTAGAATTATTATTTTAGTTTTTAATATTTTTTTATTCATGATCTCTATGTTAGAGATTACACGTCTTTAAAAATTAATTCTTAAAATCCATCTCAAATATAAATTTATTAAAAGGCTGCATTTCAGGTAACCGGGTCCTAACAAGAAATTGTAATCACTTCGAAAATTAAGTGGTCCGATCATGACCCTGGATTTTAAAATCATCCGTTCGCAAGTTTGGAGAGGTGGCTTTGAACATGTGGAAATCGTACATAGTACAATAGTCCGGTCCGAGCGATAATTGTTTAGGGAAATGTTGAGATTGTAGAACATTATTATCTTATTTCTTTATGGATGTGGTATGGATTTGTTCTGTATGGAGAAAGGTTTTTATACTTCCCCTCGATCCAACCATCCAATTTAAATCAAGCCACTAATCATTTGATCTAGATCCAATACCTCAAGGTATTTTATATAATATGAAATTTGATATCTGCCATCTTCTCAATGTGGGACTTAAAAAAAAATTAAAATGATTTTTTTGATAAAATATAATGACTAAAATACCGCTTCAAACTTTCATGGGTATTTTGATCATTTTATTTGGTTGAAAATATTGTTTTTATATCTTTTTTTTAATAGTACGAGTTGAAGAGGAGTGGACACCCAAAATTTGGTGTCAAAATATTTTGTAGTAAAAAGTTAAAATAAAATAGGGTAGAGGCGTCATATTTTTATTGGGGTCATCTCCGCCGTCCATTCAGATTAGACAGTTGAATAGGGGAAGTATATAAGTTTTGTATTGTAAAGGAAGCACAGAAGGCTTGCTTGTTGATATAAGGTTGTGATACTCTCTACCCATTTTATTTTTATTTAAATGGTGTAAATTTGATGTATCTTTTGAAACAATGCCAATATATAACACGTCGTTTGAGATAGTGTCCAGTGTCTAAAGAAATAATTAGTGTAGATTACTACATTGTTTCTACAAATAAAGATATATACAAACTTTTCCTTTTATTTATTTATGCATATTTCATGACATCAATTGTGGGTGATAATGACAACCTCTCCAAGTCGCATATTTACAAAATCACACACGGACCCTATCCTTTTATTTCTGAGTATAGCATAGGCCATTGAGATCATACTATATATTCAGTCTCTTTAGTAAAAATGTGGTTGGAAGGTTCCAGTGAAAAATTGAGGATCCATTATAGAATCATCATATGAATATACTTTTTTTAAAGATTAAAATTTAAATTTAATTACCATATGAATATACTTTTTTTAGAGGTTAAAATTTAAATTTTCAAGCGCTCAAATTGGCTATCTAAAAATAGAACAGTTTTTATACAATATTGAGATGATATTTTTTTAGCCACATATAAAGTGAGTATTAATTTTGAATTTAGAGGTTGGTCGCTAGGTTGAGGTCACTTCTCTATAATTTGGGACCTAAGAACTCTTCAAGATAAGGTTTTACTTGATGGAGTAAATATACAAAGGAAATGTAACTATTTACTTTTGTATCAAGGAGATCACAATTATGATTGATTATTAAATTTAAAATTAGGTGGTTGAGGATGTGTCTTAAGATACAAAGTTCCAAATAAAATTTCTCAAATGTTATGACGGACTTTCATTTATTGGATTTTAAATCACTAAAAATAATTGTCACCTCTTTCTACTAAAAATAAATAATTTTATAGTATACAATCACATATACAGAATAATCCAAGGCGCATATAATCTTTTTGGCCTATTTTTGCTTGGCAAAAAGAATCCCCGTGCTCGTGTAGGAGCATTTTTCTCATTATGTTCACTTGGAAAAACCTAACCTAAAAAGTATTTTTAGTACCACCTAATTTTGGAGATGCATGCTCTTGATCCTGTTGATTAATTTCCAAAAATAAAAAAATAATAATTGGGCTTTATAAGTGCTTAAAAAATATTAAAGAAAATAATTTTAAAATTTCTCCAATGCAAATCATTTTTTTCTAAATCCTCTGTTATACTCTTTTCAGCTTATTGTGATCCTTGCGTTGTTTTAGGCTTTATTTCACTTTTAAATATTTTTAGCAATCTTTTTTACTTTTTAACATTTTTAGGGCTCCCTGAATGTTTTTGACCTACATGACTCGATGCGCCGTCCACTGAGACCCAGCCTGAGTAATGGGGGTACGCCGATTCAAGATCCGACTCGAGTCTAAAAACATTGACTCCAAAACAAATGGCTTGGTAGAGATAGAGAGAGAGAGAGAGAAACAGGAAGAGGGTTAGGATCCCTGACCTTGGCAGGCTGCAACGATGAGGCTGCCATCTCCAATTCTGATACTTCAAATCACTCCTCCCCCACTTCGCACAGGCCAATTGATCAGACATAAACGAGCAATTTCGCTCCGAGTAAATCGGGTACGAGATGTTGTCAAAAACCCATCTCCCTGAAAACACATCACACTGTCCATGGTTCTGATCTCCCGGACGCTTCTCTTTCACCGTCGCCTTATCAGAATCGGAATTTACCCCGAAATTCACATCTTCCTTTGGTCCCCTGCTCTTTCCAGTCAAGAAGGCAGCAACCAATAAAGCTGAAATTAAGAAGAGAAAGAGAAGACCAAACCTCTGTCTAACTCCCCAAAACCCAAAGCTGAGCTGCTGAGATCTGTGCCCAAATCGCTTTGCCAATGCCATCTTCTTTGCAAATGCAATTCGTTTGATTTGGGGACTCCTCATGTCCTCCTATATTCATGGACGCTCGTCTCTCTCTCCTCTTCTTTTGCTTCTTCCTCTTCTTCTCCTCTCTCTCTCTCTATCTCTCTCCTCTTTCTCTCTCTTCTTCTCGCTCTTCTTTCGTCAATTGGTTTTGTGAATGTTTTATTCGACCGACTGTGACGCCGACAAAATCAATAAAATAATTCAAATTTGGTGGTGGCCTTGCCCTAAAAACATTACCCTGAGTTTAGTGTAGAAATCTTGCCCTTGTCTTTGTGAGGTTGGACGAAGCTGTCCCTGTTGGGTTTTGGGAGAATTAAAAGGAGGGAAATTTATCGAAAGGGTCAGGTTTGTATAGTGCCTAGGCTCTTAACAATCCAAGTAAAACTTACTTTCAAAAAGTGTCGAGAAATATAGTTTTAATGTTGGAAATTTTTTTGATAGCTTTACATTATATTTTTATCTTTATTTATAAAATTTAAAGATTTAAAAATAGTATAGATTTAGCTTATCTGTGAAATCTTGAAAACTTATAAGCAAAAAATATGTTACAAGATGCACTATTCCAAATCTCGATATCCATTTTTTTCTCATGTCCATGCATCTTGATCGCGAGCTGATCAATTTGAAGATATTTGGGCATCAAAACAAGCTCTTCTAGTGAAATTTTTGAGGTGGACTCTAATTTGATTGTTTAGAGCCTTGGTTCTATATAAACTTTTTCTTTATCAAAGTAAAACAAGAAAAATTATTTCAACACATAGATTATATAGATACATTCGTAGGATTAGTCGGAAGTGAAAGAAGCTTTGAAAATGATGAAGATAAAAAAGGCTTTGGACTAGATGGTATCCCAATAGTGGTTTGAAAATGCATTGGGTAGATTGTCATTAACTGGCAGACGAAGTTGTTCAACAAAGTGTTGAGAACAAAGAAAATACCAGACGAATGGAACAAAAATATTATGGTACCTATTTAGAAAAACAAAGAGACATACAAAATTATACGAAGTATTGAAGAATCAAGGTTATGAGTCATACTATAAAGCTTTGGGAGAGAGCGATTGAGCAATGACTAAGGCACAAAATAAGTGTTTCTGAAAACCAATTTGGTTCTATGTCAGGAAGGTTAACAATTGTGGTTATTTTTCTACTTAGGCAATTGAATGAGAAGTTTAGGGCCAAGAGAAAAGACATTTACATGGTCTTTATTGATATAGAGAAAGCTTATGATAGATTGCTTCAAGATTTGATTTGACGAGTGTTGGAAAAGAAATGAATCTTTTAAACACTACATGACTTGGTGAGAGATATGTACGATAAAGCATTAACTAGTGTACAAACAACTAGTGGAGAAACGAGTGAGTTTTCAGTGACAATAGGTCGATATCAAGGGTCAGCATCGAGCCCGTTCCTCTTTGTCTTAGTTATGGATTACTTAACTAGGCACTTACATGATATGGTATCGTGATGCATGTTGTTCACAGATGACATAATTTTGATTGAATAGAAATAATGTTAACATACAGTTAGAACTTTGGAGGGTTGGTCTAGAATCCAAATGTTTTAAAATTAGTCGGACTAAGACATATGGAATGCAACTTTAGTAGCAATAGGAGTAGAAACGAGGAAATAGTTTAGATTGATGGCTAGGAAGTATAAAAAAGACTACACTTTCGATACCTTGAGTCGATAATCTAAGATAATGAAGAGATTGATAAAGATTTCGCACACATAATTAGAGCTGGATGGGCAAAGTGGAAGTATGTAATTAGAATTTTATATGAACACTACATACCAATAAAGCTGAAGCGTAAGTTCTATAGGACAATTGTAAAACCAATATTGCTTTATGGGGCAGAATGTTGGGTAGACAAACAACAATATACCCATAGAATGAGTGTAGCACAGATGAGGATGTTGAGATGGATGAGTGACCAGATAAAAATAGATAAATTTGAAATGAATCCATTCGAAAGAATTTAGGTGTGGCGTCTATCGGCAATAAGATGAGAGAAAGTAGATTTAAGTGGGCTGGATATGTGTGGCGTCGACCAAGCATAATACCTATTAGGAGGTGCGAGTTAGTTCAAATAAAATAAATGAAAAATGCAAGGGGTCGGCCCAAAAGGAGGTGGTTGGAAGTAGTCTAAAAGGATATGGAGACTTATAGCCTCACTGAGGGTATGATGTTTAATATAACATAATGGTGGATCAGAATTCGTGTAGCCCATTTAATTAGAAAAGGGTTATGATGATGATGACCATATAGATTTTGATGGATAATTTGAAATTAAATCTCTCAACTTGAGTAAATTTCAAATAGTTCATCTCCTATGTGGTAGACTTAATAATGGGTATATATATTTATTTACTATTTTTTATTATAGGGTTTTGTTAGGCTACACCATTTGGTGGTGTAGACCTTTAAAGTATTCAACATTTTTGATACTAAAATACCATTGAATTGTAATACAAAATTGTTCAAATAAAGGCATTTTTGGTCATTTAGAAAGGTAGAATGGATGTTTTTATAATAAAATAATATCATTCTATTAGTAGTTAAAAACAATGGGTGATGTCCTGCACCATATAGATGATGTCATTGTCCACTATTGTTAATAAATGCTTTTGTTTATATTCGGAATCACTAGTTTACTCTTGACTAATATATAAGGGTATCTAAATGTCCAAAACTGTTGAAAACTTGAAGGGTCTACACCACAAATGGTATAGCCTAACAAAAGCTTTTATTATAATACATTCGGTTTTAGGACATGGTTGCAAAACCCAATATTGAATTGGATCAATCTCCATTATACCAATTTGAAATGTCTATTCTTGATTAGGAACAATGTTTCTAACTCGGATTGCTTATTTCACTGTCAGAATCCCCCCAGTCGATGATAGAATTGAAGGATTCTCACTACGTTGGACTGGATTTTGGTTCTACAAAGGAATTGGGATGGTTCCATACCTAATCCAAATCGGTGATCTTTAAATCCATGCTAAAGAGTGAATTTTTGAGGTGCAAATCAACATTTAGGACCCTTCAGAAAAGGGGGCCATTTTGGTAACCTCCTTTCAAGGGTAAACGTTGAATTTTACTTTTGCTCCTATTTTAAAGGTTGTTAATTATGGGTAAGGTGACATTGATTAATTAAAGCAATGGATAATTTTAAAGGTTGTGAATTATGGGTAAGGTGACATTGATTAATTAAAGCAATGGATAATTTTAAAGGTTGTTAATTATGGGTAAGGTGACATTGATTAATTAAAGCAATAAATAATTCTTAATTATGGGTAATGTGACATTATGAGTTGGACTTTTCTCTATTTTTCTTATTTTATTTAACCATGCTTTCTAAATTGGGACAATTAAGTTTCAAAGTACCGGTCAGGTTTTCTGTTAAGAATTTTATTGTTAAATGATATTCTACTATCTTGGAGTATACTGTCTAACTCCCTCGGATAAGACTCCATCTAGGAATAATTTTAGGACCTTTGGGGATATAAAATTTTTAACATGTATTAACGTTAATAAGAAAATATCCTAATTACACTCTGAGAGGTTGGAAAAAATAATGTCTCAAACATATCAAATTTTTGGAGGGTGAGATCTAAGTATCGAAAACTCAAATTTTAATTATTCTTTTTTAGAATAATTATCTAGTTATTCTTAGGTGATTACCAATCTTTGAAATTAAAAAAAAACCTTCCAAGTAGGTTATCTGACTACTAGAATACAAGTATACTATATTCCCATGGGAATATATTATAACATGCTCCTATTTTCACATAAACATGGAATCTTACTTTTTCTCCCTTGTTTCGTAACGGAGAAAGTTGTTTTTCTGAAGAATCTCTCATAATTCAGAAACGTGAAAAAAAGGTAGAAGTAGCAAACTCTAGTTGGAAGTTTAGAACCCTTGTTTGGTAACCTCTTTGTGAAAACCAAGAGAAATCTCAGGCTAGAGCTTGGGAAAAGCGAGATTGAGAGGAGAAACGAATAATGAGGTTAGAGAAAGAAAAGGGAGACAAGGTGGTTTCGTATTTTTCCCATTTCGAAATCCACCGTACACGTTTCCCAAAAAGTGGGGAAAAGCACAGGAAAGTGGAAAAATATCGGTTTCCGGTTTTCCACTCTTTTCTCTATTCCAAACAGGGAAAATATGGTAATGGAGAAAACCTGTCATTTCTTCTGTTTTCTCAGTTACCAAACGGGACCTAAAAAGTTATAGAAATGCCCATTTAACCCTGGGAGTTGGAAGGAGTACTCAATTTTCTCTAATTGTGAAGATGCCCTTTGCGCCTATCACTATTTCATGATACTTTTGAAGCCATTCATTAATTAATTTTTCATCTAAGACTAAATATACGCAACACTGTTGAATTTTTTTTTAAAGAAAAACTGAAGGGTTATCTCGTGTTGAAACTTTGGCTTCACTTGGTTGGTTATTTGGAAAATGTACTTATGCTTCCATGCCTCATTTTGGGATCATACAGAAATTTGTCAAGATTCAAAACCAAGAAGATTTCCTTATTTTATATGGAAAGAGCATTGTAATTTCACTTTAGAAACAAAGAATTTGACTAAAGAATAATTCAGCTTCAACCAAAATCATTAGCCTACTTTCGTAAACATAGCGCATTGTACACATCACATTGGATGATGTAATGATGGAGGGGCAAAATTTTTTATTCAAAAGTAAAGTTGGTGTTTAGGAAAACCAAATATGGGCGATCCTTGATGTTTTGAATCAGTGTTTAAAACCCGGATCAGCCGGGGGCCTACATTGGCGAATCACCGATTTGGATTGGCGGTTATTCACCGATCTGACGATTCACCTAAGCGAGAATTGGTTGCTAAAAATTTGAAAAAAATAAGAAAAAAATAAGAAAAAAATATAAATCTTGAGTCGCTTGATTCTTTGACAGAATCGGTTGGATCCCCCCAAGGAACCGGCCAATTCTGTGGGAAGAAGCTCAATTCTAGATTCAACCGCAAATCGGGTCGGTTCCCACCAATTCCCATTCCAAATCCAACGATTCCAATTTAGATCGACGATTTTGAGAACATAATTTTGAATACCGATTATCTACAAAAATTCATCAGATGACTTAGTAAGGCCTTGCTATTTTAAAATACTTCGATAATTTGATAAGATATTAGTGGT